CGCGCGGGCGGCCGCAGGATCAGCATGTTCCGCATGCACGTGGCGCGGGAGAACATGACGTAGAGGTGCAGCCACCACATCTCGTCCGACATGCCCGTGCGGCCAGCGTCCTCATCCCTGGCGCAGTCGATGGTGACGCCCTTGCGCAGCGTCTGGCCCTGCGACAGCGTGGAGGTCAGGTAGGACGCATGCGTCAGGGTGAACCCCGAGCGGCGCACAGTGTGCGCCCCCGAGCTTTGCCACGTGAGCTCCTGCTCGCTGGGCCTGAACATGAGCAAGCTCCTCGCCCGCGCTTCGGCCTCGCCGTCGTCGGCAGCGCCATCGGCGCCCTGCAGCAGCACCTCGGCGACCTCCTTGTAGATCGGGGACTCCTGGAAGCCGTGCGCCTGCAGCCAGATTCCCTGCGGTAGGAAGCGGGGGCGGAAGAGCTGGCCCGGCGCGCACTCCTCGTAGTCCCGCTCGTCGTCTGCGTGAAACTCGAAGGACACGATGGTGGCCCGTTGCTCCTGCACGAGCCCCAACTTCTTCTTCAGCTCCTCCTGCACGGCCGTGAACCGGACCTCCATGCCGACGTGTGCCGGTAAGACGCCGTGGATGTCTCCCGTCTTGTGCATGTTCGGGACGTTCAGGAGGCGCCGGCCTGCGTCTGGGTCGCCTTGAATCGTGCCGCACTCGTCTACGGCCTGCAGGAAAACGAGGGGGACGCCGAGGCGCCGCGCGTCGCGACGAGCGCGCATGTTGATCCACCTCGCCAGCGTCTCCCAGTAGATGCCCATGCCGTAGCCGAGCCGGAAATTCTCGTGCTGGTGCCGTGGGTCCAGGACGCCGTGGTTGTCCGAGGCCAACGTTTTCTCCCAGGCAGACCAGACCTCTGGTGGGAAGCGCTTGCCCTCGCGCGTGCAGCCCAAGAACGCGATCAGAGGGCCCCCCGGCTCGAAGCGCTTTGCGCCTTTCAGTTCGAAGACGCAGGGGATCTGAGAGAAGACCCTGATGGCGTGCTGGATCTCCACCGTCGGCGGCTCCGCGTACTTGTACGACCTTTTTCCGTCGTCCAGGCGCTCGTCCACGCAAGGGGCTACCCCTGCGCCCGGTCGCTGTCTCGTCGTCGTCATCGTCAGCTCCTCAGTCGTCCTCTCGGACGCCGCGGCCGTGGGGCGGCGGAGCCTCTCGGACCTCCACGCTGTCGCATGACTACAACAAATTTGCCGACGACCAGCTCGGACGATGCTACCCGGACTTCTCAATCGCCCTTTCGGGCACGCAGGCCCATGACAACAATTTTGCCCGCGACCAGTTCAGACAGACGAGACTCCCGCTTGGTAACTCCCTGGTATTCAGGCCGCAGGAGCGAGTTTTAAAATCCGTCCTCAGACCTCCAAGTGACGACAGGAGACGGTCCTCTGACGGGGCTACCCGCACCGCCCACAGACAAAGTTCCCCCTTGATGCTTCCCCCGTGTTCAGGCCGCAGGAGCTGAGGAGCCCAAAAAGCTCGCTCGGATGACCCGCTCGGGTTCGAACATGAAGTGCGTGCCCCATAGGGGGGGGGGGGCTCCCGCCTGAGACTTCCTCGCAATTCACTCACAGACGAGGCTCCCGCTCGAGACTTCCTTCATATTCAAGCCTCAAGAGGCCCAAAAGTGACGACAGTTACAGGGTTCCGATGACCCGCTCGGATTAGTAACATGATCGGCGGGCCCCATAAGGAGGGCGCTCCAGCCTGAGACGTCCTCGCAATTCACTCAGAGACGAGGCTTCCGCCTGATACTTCCTCCATATTCAGGCCTCAAGAGCCCAAAAGTGACGACAGTTGGAAGGTTCCGATGACCCGCTCGGATTAGTAACATGATCGGCGGGCCCCATAGGGAGGGGGCTCCCGCCTGAGACTTCCTCGCAACTCACTCACAGACGAGGCTCCCGCCTGATACTTCCTGCATATTCAAGCCTCAGAGGCCCGAAAGTGACGACAGCTACAGGGTTCCGATGACCCGCTCGGATAAGTAACATGATCAGCGGGCCCCATAGGGAGGGGGCTCCAGCCTGAGACGTCCTCGCAATTCACTCACAGACGGAACCCCCGCCTGATACTTCCTTCATATTCAAGCTTCAAGAGCCCAAAAGTGACGACAGTTACAGGGTTCCGATGACCCGCTCGGATTAGTGACATGATCTGCGGGCCCCATAAGGACGGGGTTCCAGCTTGAGACTTCCTCGCAATTCACTCAGAGACGAGGCTCCCGCCTGATACATCCTCCATATTCAGGCTTCAAGAGCTTAAATGTGACGACAGTTAGAGGTTTCCGACGACCCGCTCGGATTAGTAACATGATTTGCGGGCCCCATAGGGATGGGGCTCCCGTCTGAGACTTCCTCGCAATTCACTCACAGACGAAACCCCCGCCTGATACTTCCTGCATATTCAAGCTTCAGAGGCCCAAAAGTGACGAAAGTTACAGGGCTCCGATGACCCGCTCGGACTAGTGACATGATCTGCGGGCCCCATAGGGAGGGGGCTCCCGCCTGAGACTTCGCAGTTCACTCAGAGGCTCCCGCCTGATGACGAAATAATGAGTGAGCGAATGATGATGATGAGTGTGTGATGAATGAGTGATGATGATGTTGATGATGATGGTGACGGTGGTGATGATGATGGGGATGATGATGAGGATGAGGATGATGATGATGGCCACTGAGTGGGTGATCGAGAGATTATGATGGAGATGGTGACGATGTTGTTGAGAGTGGCGGCGGTCGTACCGTCGGAAGATCACTGCCTCCGAAGCCTACTGAAGATGAGTGAGTAATTGAGTGAGTGAGTGGGTGATCGAGTGGTGATGAGGGTGACGATGATGATGAGGATGATGATGATGACTAGTGATGACGGTGATGGTGGTTGATGGTGATGATGATGGTAATGATGATGAGTGTGTGCGTGTGATGACGATGATGGTGGTTGATGGTGATGATGATGGCGATGATGGTGAGTGAGAGAGAGAGAGAGAGAGAGAGAGAGAGAGGAAAGGGGGTGTGTGAGATCCTGCGCGGCGTGTGCAGAGAAAACAAGAACCCCACTTTGGATGTGGGGAACAACTTCGACGCCCCCAAATGCCCAGGCGGTTTTGGGAATGCGGAAGCGCGTGAAATCACATGGGCTCCAAACGCCCAAGGGCGGGACGACCATGAACACATGTAGGTTCTTAATGTCCCAGAGCGGGACCCGCGTGATAACACAGTGGTTCATAGCGCCTCATGGCGGGACAAGCGTGAAAACACATACAGGTTCCTAGCGCGCCAGAGCGGAACAAGCTCAAAAGCACGTGGTTCTGAACGCCTTAGAGCGGGACAAGCATGAAAGCACATGGGTCCTAGCGCTTCAGAGCGTGGCAAGAGTGAAAACACATGGTTCCTAACGCGCCAGAGCGGAACACGCGTGAAAACACAGGTGTCCTTAACGCCCCAGAGCGGGACCCGCGTGAGAACAGTTGGTCGGGACAGGTGTGAGAAGCCCCAGAGCGGGACAAGGGTGCAGACACGCGGGGTCCTAACGCCTCAGTGCGGGACAAGGGTGAAAACATTGTGGTTCCTAACGCTCCAGGGCGGGACAAGCGTGAGAGCACATATGGGTTTCTAACGCTTCAGAGCAGGACAGGCGTGAAAGCACATGGTTCCTAACGCTTCAGAGCGGGACAAGCGTGAACACGTATGGGTTCCTAACGCCCCAGGGCGAGACGAGCATGAAAACACGTGGGTCCTTAGCGACCCAGAGCGGGACACGCATCACAACACATGGTTCCTAACGCCCCAGAGCTGGACCAGCGTGAAAATACTAGGGTACCTAACGCCCCAGAGCGGGGCAATCATGACAATTCGTGGGTTCCTAACGCCCCAGAGCAGAAGCAATAATGGAAAACACATGGATTCCTCATGCGTCCGAGCGGGACAAGCGTGAAGACACGTGGATTCCTGGCGCTTCAGAGCGAGACAATCGTGAAAACACCATGGGCACGAGTTGCACATTGAATGTCACACTTACATGGGATGAGGTCGCCGTGGGCAATGGCCCAAAGTTTGAAGGACGACTGAGCGGGCGATTTGGCACCCCTCCCTTGTCTGAGGCCAACGTACGATTAGCCGCCAGTAGTTATCATTGTCATTATCTTCCCTCCATCCCCCCTCCTTCCTCGTCTCCTCCTCCTCCTCCCTCATCCTCCCTCCTCCTCCTCCTCCTCCTCCTCCCCCCTCCTCCTCCCTCCTCCTCCTCCTCATCATCATCGTCATCATCATCATCATCATCATCATCATCATCATCATCATCATCATCATCATCATCATCATCATCATCATCATCGTCATCATCATCATCATCATCATCATCATCATCATTCGGCGTGCCATCGGAGTGGGCCCGTGGCCGGCAACCGCCTCCTCATCGTTATCTTCCCTCTTCCCCCCGCCATGGCAGTCGTAGAATGCCTTTTTATTCCAGCCTCTCCAAGACGGCAGCTCATGCTGCTTGCTGTGAGGAGGGGGGTGTACAGCGTGGGTTCGGTGGTGACGATGATTGTATGAGCGCTTTGCTCTGCTATCTTCTCAAAAGATGTGGCGTGACTGAATGCGCATCATCATCATCATCACCATCACCAGCATCATCCTCAGATCATCACCATCACCATCTCCATCACCACCAGCATCATCATCCATATCGTCGTCATCATCATCATCACCACCACCATCATCATAATCGTACTCACCAGCATCATCACCCTTACCAAAATCATGACCATCACCATCATCTCCATCATCATCACCATCATCTCCATCATCATCACCATCATCATCATCATCAGCATCATCATCATCATCATCATCATCATCATCATCATCATCATCATCATCATCATCATCATCATCATCATCATCATCATCGATGCACCCCCCCCATCCCCGCCCATCCTCTGTCGATCCCCCGCGCTCCTCAGAGGGCCCCGGCGGGGCCCGCAGGAGCCCAGGCTGCTCGCGGCGGTCTGCCACCAGGTCTTCGGGCGGGCTGGCGGCCCAGCGGGCCCTGTTGCGCTGCGACCGTACGGACGTCGATGGCCGATCTGGATGGAGAGTTCGAGCTTGCAGGGGGCAGCGACGGATGGAAGGAGGTCGAGGGGAGGCAGGGAGGGAGGAAGACGGGAGTGAGGAGGAGTGGAGGTCACCGTGATGAGCCAGGGCGTCCAGAAGAAGAAGAAGAAGAAGAAGCAAAAGAACAAGAAGACGAAGAAGAATACACATATTAATGCGAATCTAAATCAGAATAATAATAATACAGGCCTTCGACAAATAGCGAACACTCATGCCACATTCATCTGTGAACGCCTCCCCCCCCCAATGTTCAAAGTTGGCGGTGGGTCTGATGAGTTGCACCTCGACCGCAGTCTCCCCCGCGCGTGCCAACTTTGAGTTGGGGGGGCAGGGGGGGTGTTCACTTATTGTTTCCCACTACCGTACGAAAAAGAAGAAGAAGAAGAAGAAGAAAAAGAGGGAAGGGCGGAGGAATGTAGGTCACTGGTGACCCTGCCCCCCCCACTCCGTATGCACGAAGGCCCAGTGGGGTGGGGGGACGGAGGTATTGATTCTCCTCGCGCTCGTGAAAGCAATTGCGCACGCAACCGCGCACACTGTTTTTCCCGGAAAGGGCGGGGGCCCAGGGTTATCTTTTAGATGGTAATCTGTCCCCGGTGCCACGTTCGCGATGGGGCGGCGGATTCTTTCTTCGAAGAATGACGAGGTCGAGATGGGCCAGCGGATCAACAAGTTGAGGATGTCTCGAGCGACACGCTGGCTTTTCAAATCCCGATCTATCAAACACAGGATCAAGTGATCATGTTTGTTTGTTACGGATGTCGCAAGCGAAACGCTTATTTTGCAGAATGTGTTGAGGATGTCTCGAGCGAACGATTTGCTTTGTCCCAGAGATTACCCCTCTCCTGTGGCCCCAGTCCTTTGCGTATTCTGGTTGTTCCTATAGAAAGCTCCAGCGAGCGCCCAAAGCGGGACAAGCGTAAAAACCATGAGTTCCTGACGCCCCACAGCGGGACAAGCGAGAAAAATCGTGGCTTCCTAACGCCCCAAGGCGAGACAAGCGTGAAAGCACGTGGGCTCCTGACGCCCCAGAGCGGGACAAGCGTGAAAGCACGTGGGTTTTTCACAACCCGAGCGAGCGGGACAAGCGTGAAAACACATAAGTTCCGAAGGCCTCAGAGCGGGACAAGCGTGAAAACACGTGGGTCCCTAACGCCTCCGAGCGGGACAAGCGTGAAAACACGTGGTCTCCTAACGCCCCAGGGCGGGACAAGCGTGAAAACATATGGGTTCCTACCGCCCCTGAGCGGGACAATTATCATAGGGCAACATTGTTGATCGCGGCGTTAATCCTAGTTATTCCCCCGATCATCCTATCTAGTGTTGATCCCCCCCACCGGTGCACATTGTATTTTTTCAAGATGATGTGCCCCCCTCGGGGCTCGCACCCTGTTTTTCGTAAAGGAAGGTCTTCCTGCTCACACTGGGCCCCTGGCCACCCCGGCTACAACAACAATAGCGGCTTCCGTCAAATACTTCCTCACAATATTGCGCTCTCGCGCGGAACTTTCTCACAGTTTATGCAGGAATCGCGCTCTCGCGTGGGACTTCCTCGCAATTTATTCAGATGCCGCACCCTCGACATTCAGGAATCACGCTCTCGCTTCTGGCTTTTCTCACGATTTACTTGGGAATCGCTATCGCTCGAGACTTCCTCGCGATTCATGCAGGACTCACGCCTCAGCAACCCGCCTACTCGAGCTGGCCGCCTGGGCCCGCCTTCCCGACCCGCCCGCCAGGGTCTGCCCGCCCAATCTGCCCGTCTGGTTCGACCACGTATTTTCTGCTCCTAGCCCCCCTCCTGCTAATTTCTCTCGTGCTCCATCCTTCTCCATCCCCCTTCCATCCGTCCTCTCCTCCCGTTCTAGGGGCTGCACAAAACTCACGTGGCGGGTAACGAAGATAGACCCCAGAGGGGGGACGATCGAAGACGAAGAGGGCGAGGACGTGCTGAATGGCACGCGAGTAGATAGGAGCGAACCGTCTCAAAATGCTTGTTGCTCTTGTTGCTGGACGAGGCGGACTTGAGTGAGCCACATCCTGAAAACGACCCGGCCTCCATCCGTGAAGCTCTCGCAGCATGTTGTGACGAGTTCGCGCGGCGCTCCAGCGAGCGCCAGATTTTGGAAACCACCAGCCCTCTAAACGTCAGGGTCATAAGTGGTCAGGAAGTCTTAGGCGAAACGACCAGCCCGCCCTTCCGACACGCTTCGGGGTGCGACAGGGAGGAGTTACTTGCAAGGAGGAAAAGGGTGGAGGAGGGGTGGGAGGAGGAGGAGGAGGCGGAGGATGAGGAAGGAAGGATGAGGCAGGACGAGGGTGATGGAAGAAGAGGGAGCGGGATGCGGAGGAGGCAAGGTGCAATAGGAGGATGATGATGATGATGTTGATGATGATGATGATGATGATGATGATGATGATGATGATGATGATGATGAGGAGGAGGAGGAGGAGGAGGAGGAGGAGGAGGAGGAGCTACGTGTACGTAGGGACGCCGAGGCCGAGGACTTCGGGCCTTCCAACTTGGCCATCACGACTTGGAGCTTTGCCACCCTCGCGTACCGCGACGACCTGGTGATGAAGTGGGCCTCCGCTTGCTGCCAACTGGGACCACTGCCCGCGTTGGGGTTTTCTCTGCCCTGCAGCTCCTCCATGCTCGCCCGTTCCATCTGCCATTCGCACGCGTCGCTCCTGCACCTCCTTTTCCTGCTGTTCCTCCTGCTCATTGTTGTCGTCTTGCACCTTCTCCTCACCCCCCCCACCTCTTCCTCCGTTTCCTTCTCCGCGCTCTCACCTTTCTGATTTATGCTCCTCCACCCAGTCCGTTCCTATCTGCCTTGCTCCCGGCTTTATTATCAAGTTTTTGTCGTTTGCGAAGCACACATATCCAGCGCTGACTCCTGCTGAACCAGCGTCCGCACTCGATGTTGCCGAGTCGATTCAGACACGGGGTGGCACGGGGCAGCAGGCAGGGTATGTTGGAGTCAGGGTGAAGAGATCAGCTGCAGCGCTCTCGTGCACGTGCGCATAAGCCCTTCGTTCTCGGTGGGTGCCCCCCCCCGCTGCTGCGAGGCGGATCAGCCGCCAGGCCGGGGGACGGCCACATGCTGTCGTTGCGTTTCTACCTTTGTGTTTCCGTCCCCCGCTCTCCCGTCCATTCTCGCCATTTCGTTCCTGCCCCTTCTCGCTCTCTCTCTCTCTCTCTCTCTCTCTCTCTTTGTTGATGTTTCTCTCTCTCTCTCTCTCTCTCTCGCTCTCTCGCTCTCGCTAGCCCTTTGTTCCCAACCATCCTGTGGTGTAGGGTCTTCGTTTTGCAGAGACAGCGCCCCGCGTCTCCAACCTCTTTCCCCCCCTTCCCCCTCCCTCCCACCTCCCATCTGTCCCTGCCATCCGCATGTCTCTGTTTCGGCACGCACCCCTCACACAATTCGTGGCCCCGTTGGGAGCTCCACTGAAGGCCACAGTGGCGGTGGGCCACAGTGGCGCTGGCCACATGCGGTCCCCGCACCCATCTGGGGACACCCCTCACACGTGTCGTTGCCCCACAGGGAGCTCCACCGAAGGCCTTTGTGGCAGTGCTCACGCGCCACTCCCCACACGCTCATTGGTTGGTAGGACACCCTAGCTCTGGAGTGGACCCACTGGAAGATCCTCAGGCTACCTCTCGATGTCGAGCGGGTGGAGGATGCCTGCTTCACCGCGAAGTCCCCGACGAAGGACGCAGAGCGCCAGCTCGCCGCCGCCAAGTACCTCGCACGCGTCCCAGGCGACGGACCCGCCTGGTAGGTGATCCATCCGGATTTGCTCGTCACTCGGGGCTGCGACGCCCAGAAATAGTGTGGGAGGGAGAACTTCCCCTCCAAATGACGGCGTTCGTGAGCAAACTCGGGGCATTCCTGCCACAAATGCCGGAAAGACTGCTGGGCGTGGTTGCAGTACTTGCACGGGTGCGGGCATTGCTGGCGTGTGGATGTAGACACTGCACCACTGCGGTAGACGGTGGGAAGCTTCTTGTCGTTGTCGTCCAGCTTGGAGTACCATCTCGCGAAGAAGCGGTGCGACGACGCGTCGATGTCGACGTTGTCAACTTCCTCGCTGTCGAGCCCGGTTTGTCGCACCTGCTGGAGGCAGCGGACGCGCGCGACCGCGCGCAGCGCGTGGGCTGCCTTCTCGTAGGTGGTCCAGAAGCGCTGGGAGCTGGCGCCGCGGACCTGTCGCGTCACCTGCAGGGCGCGGTGGTCGTCGGTGGGGGACACCTCGAGCTGCACGCCGCGGGTGTCGTCGCTGTACGTGATGAACGTCAGGCCCAGGGACGCGGCGTGCGCCGTGATGGCGTTTTGCACGAAGTCGCTCCAGACCAGCTTGGAGTGGGAGACGGCGTGGAGGCTCTGGAGAGCCTGCGAGTACTGCGGGTGCAGATTGGTGTGAAGGGCCCAGAAACGGCCGTAGCACCACCAAGTGCAGCGTGTATTGAGCAAGGCCCGGAACAAGCGCCTGGTGTAGTCCGCCGGGACAGGGGTCAGTAGCGGCGCCGCCCAGGTCCAGTGTGGCCGGATGTAAGCGATGGCGAGGATGATGCGCACCACGAATCGCCCGGGAGGCCGTGCAGAATGCCGATGCCGTTCTCGATCTTTGCCCAGCCCTTTCGCGGCAGGACGGGCGCAGAGGGGTCCGTGGGGACGGCCGTGAGGCCGAGATGCTCGATGCGCTTGGGCGGGTCGTCGGCGACGCTCCAGGTCTGCCGTTTGCTGGCGTTCTCCGTGAAGCCGACGTCGTTGTCGAAACTCGTGGTCATGGCGACGTCAGCCGCGAGGGCAGCCTCGTCGGTGGCCGTCAGGCTCCGGTCGTCCATGTACGCCAGGCCGGAGTCGGGCGCCCACGGCGTAAGGGCGCCGACCATAGCATTTGGGGCGAGGCTGTCGCCCTGGGGGAGCCCGCGCTTCGGCCAGATCGGCTGGCTGAGCTCGCCCCCCATCGTGCAGAACCGTGGAGCACGCCACACCGCCGCGCACAGTCGAGTGATGCGTGGCGGCATGCCCTGCCACTCGAAAGCGCCCTCCGCGATAGCGAAGTCGATGTTGTCGCACGCCTTGGACAAGTCGTGTTCCGAGCCCGCCCCGCTGAGAGTGCAGGAGTGGAGCCGCGACTAGATGGCGTGGGTGGCGCTGGTGGCACGTCGGCACGACCGCTGGTGGGTCGGCGGCTCGGGGGCTGCCCCTGCGAGGGCGGACAGCCAGATGCGCAGGATGCAGGAGCACACGGCGATAGGCCTCGAGTCGTCCTCGTTCTTCGGAGTGCCCACGATCTTCCAACTGAGCAGCTGCATGGCCGCGGTGTCGTTGATGCCGTCGGTGGCTATCTCGCGGGTGGTGCTGCGCCGCAAGTTGTAGAGCTCGTGCATGACCTCCGGGGCCAGCCTGGCGACGAGACGGAGCTCCGCGCCCGTCCAGCCGTCGAAGCCAGCCGCACCCTTGGAGCGTCGGACCGCGTTGTCGAAGACGTGGTAGTTGGGCAGCCAGTCGGCTGCCTGGCCGGAGCGTGGGAAAGCGACGTTTGCCGCCCAGGAGCGCCAGCGCTGGAGGTGGCCGTCGGCGTCGTGGTTGGGAGGGTCCCACTGCTGCTGCCACGTCTGCTTGAACGCGTCGACGTCTTGGCACGCTGCTGGTGGAGTGCCCCTGAACATGGGCGCGGTGGTGGTCCAGAGCGACGTTGACCACTCAGCGAACTTGGCGCGCCAGCGGGCGGCAGCGCCCTTGGCAGCCAGCCGCTCGCACTCGTTGATCCCTGACGTAAGGACCTCGATGGCGTCGTTGTAGGTGGGAGCGCCGTCGGCGAGCTGGATGCGGCCGTCCAGACCCAAGCGGGCGCAGCAGTCCAAGTGGCGTGGTGAGAGGTATTGTGGACGCGGGTCGCGTCAAAGCACCTCGGCAAAGCGACGTTGGAGTCGAAGTAGACGTCGGTGGGCGACCGTCTGTGGAGGTCGGAAAGAAGAGGGCGTGGCAGTCGGTCGCATCTTGGGGAGGGTGCCCTTCGCCCTCTCCCCAGGGCGTGTGATGTAAACCCAGCCGAGCCGGACACCCTCCTTGAGGGTCTGCACAGCCTGTGCATGCCAGTTGGCCCAGCGGTCGGTCAGGTTGGCGCCGGCGGGTGTGCGCGGCGTGCTGAATCAGCTCGACGTCGTCGGGGATGCGCGTCAGGCGGGCGTAACCTGCTGTGTGTGTGAGCCGTCTGCGGGGTCGCGGTGCAGGGTGGTGCAGTCGGACCGTGTAGTAGACGAGGGCGTTGTGAGGGATCCTGGGCAGCTGGAGTCGGTCATGGTACCCTGGTGTGGGCGTGTCTGGGCCTCCGAAGGCCAGAGCTTTGGTGGGTGCCGTCGCTGCCGTTGTCGCGGTGGTGGGCGGAGCCTTCGTCCAGCCGGCGGCGAAGGTTACGTCGTAGGAGGGCTTCCAATTGAAGTCGCCGATGGCCAACAGCGGGTGGTTGTCGGTGACGGTCGATTCCAGATAGGCTCGTGCACGAGCCATCCAAGCGCAATCGGCCTGAGCAGGCCCGTACATCGAAAAGTAAACAGCGTGGGAGGTCCCAAGGCCAAGAACACGGTGACCTAGGGCCTGGTCGCGGACGACGGTGGTCTTCCCTAGGGTGGGGCGCCATAGAATGGCGGCGCCGCCGTTCGTCATTGCTTGTCGGTTGTTGCCAGGGGGAGGAGGGCTGAAGGCGATGCTCCAACCCCGTGCCCTTGCGAGTGTGAATGCCCAGCGGGGCCGAAGTCGATCGTGTCGCGTCTCCTGCAAGAGGGCGAGGTGGGAGTCTGTCTGGCGCAGTGCTTGGAGCAGGGTCTGCAGTCGGTCGCGTGCGAGTGCTGTAACGTTGATGGTAGCGATCTTGAGCGCTGGAGTGGAGTCAGTGGGGCCCATGGTGGGAGACGGGCTCTCCTGGGGAGGAGGTGGCGGAGGCGGAGGTGCGCAAGCGCCGGCGGGCGCTGCTCCCCCCAGGAGATGGCCCCGTCACTCGGCCGCGGCGGGCCGGCGCTTGGTGGCGGTCGTCTTCCGCCTGCGGGCGTTGATCTCCTCGGAGTGCGCAGCCCACCTCTTCTTCTGACACTTGAGGTAGCGGGCGCGGTGGAGGAGATAGCGAGTCTTCGCTCGCTCCTGCGTCCTGTAGTCGGGATCCGATCGACGACGCTTGCGCGAGGCCGCCATGGCATCCTTATGCTTGATGTTGGCGGCCGCCTTCCTGCTGTAGAAGGCCTGGGTCCGGCGACGGCCGATGAGGTGGATGAGGATCTGCTTGTAGGACTTCTGGGTGACCCGCTTGGCGCAGGGGGTCGTCCGAGCCTGAGGGGTGGTGCGCGCGATGCCGCAACGGGAGCAGGCGTAGGTGTTCCTGGTCACACTGCCGTCGGCGGCGCCCTTGTTGGAGTGCTGTGCCTCGTCGAGGTCGCAGATGCAGGCCTGCCAATGGGCCGGCTGCTCGTCGTGCCACCGCCGGTACTTGGCAAAGTTCTGGCGGCAACGTCGCATCCGTGTGGCGGGGCCGTTCTCGAGGCGGGCGTTGGCACGCTGCTCGGCCGTGTACTTCGGGGGCTCGGTGCCCTGGCACGTCCGGAAGTGCCGCTTGGTATCCGTCTTCCGCTGGTGGTGGCTGATCGTGCAATCAGGTCGCCAGCCGCAGGTAGGGCACGCGTAAAAAGGTGGTGGAGCACTAGGCCCCGCCGAGCCAGAGGCCCCCGGGGAGGGCCGAAAACCGGCGTCGTCGTCCGCCAGGGCCGAGGCCGAGTCGAGGCCTAGGGCTGCCCGCGCCCTGGTCGTCGCGCTGGTCTGGGCGGTCATGGCGGAAGCCGGGGTGTTGTCCAGGCCGAGGATGCGGCGGGCGTCGCTGGTGCGCCTGCTCTGGGCTGGACTGGACTGGATGCCGAGGTAGCTGCGGGCGCCCTCGCTTGGAGCGCGACCTCCGCCCGTGAATTTCGTCGGGTACGGCAGGGCACGCTGCTCCCAGGCCGCCATGGTGGCGGGCGGGACCGGGCTGGTAGGGCGTAGAAGTTGTTAGTGCTGGTCCTTGAGGGTGAGCCAGATAATCTTCTTGAAG